TCACACTGCTGTCCTCATCCCCACAGTGCTCAGTGCTCACACTGCTGCCCTCATCCCCACAGTGCTCACACTGCTGCCCTCATCCCCACAGTGCTCAGTGCTCACACTGCTGCCCTCATCCCACAGTGCTCACACTGCTGCCCTCATCCCACAGTGCTCACACTGCTGCCCTCATCCCACAGTGCTCACACTGCTGTTCTCCGCAGTCTTAAGAGAACAAAGCACAGGCCCACTCTCCTGCTCTGAGTACATGTGGACAGAGATCAGAAAGGGGCCTGGGAAGGGATAACAGCAACCTGCCTCCCTTCCTGGTCCCTTTTGTGTAGACAAACTGGGTTTGGATCACCCCAAACTCTGAGATCCATGAGGAGAAGGACCAAGGTGTTCACTTCTGCACCCCAGCTCCTGTACACCCTCCTGTTCCTCAACAGGCTTCTCTGAAGCCCTTCTCCACAGCTTGGCTGGGTAAAGTGCTCTTCTCCTTTCCGAGAAGAAACAGAACACCACACCCCCGTGTCTCAGTCAGTGTTCTCTTTAAGTCGGTTTCATTCAAACTGTGCTCACCTGAATCAGCAGTTGAAGAATAAGGGAAAGAACAGCTTTCCAGAGAACGTGGCCACTTGCTGCTGGCTCCCTGGATGGCTCTCTGGGACGCTTCACAACCTCTGATGTCACACGCTGTGGGTAGATCCAAGGAACAGCTCTCCCCTGACTGGCTGCCGGGTGTAGATTCCTGAGATTCCATCGGTCTGTAGGGAAGGTAAGAGCTCCAGGCCACAGGCTCCGTGGGCCCAGAGCACAGCCTGAGGAGTCCAGAAGAGCAGCCTCTCCAGCCCCCTCCGTGGTGGGTTTTCCTCTCTTCTCCTTTGGTCCCCTAGTGTGGCAGATACTCTCTCACCTGAGAAAAAACCAATCCTAGTTTCAGCTAGGAGCCAGGCATGATGGCAAACATCTATAATTCCAATCAATACTCAAGAGGCTGAAACAGGACTCCAAACTTGGGGGCAGCCTGAGCTAAACAGAAGACTACCTCAAAGCAAACAAGCCATAACAGTATATGTTACACATATAATTTCAGCTAGAAAACAAGGCAGTATACTAGAAAAACAGGACATTCGACCACAGCTCTCTTCTCCGTGAGGTACTGTGTAGAATTAGAACTCACCGTAACGGAACTATCTGGGATCTAATTTTTAGGTTTTCCGGGGGCTTCTAGGTTTTTGGTGGTGGTTGTTTCCCTCCCTTCCTTCCTTTCTATCTTTTTTGGCAAAACCTCACACTGTAAACCTGATACACACTATATAGCCCAGGCTGGCCTGCAAACAGTCCTCCTGCCTCGGTGTCCCCAGTGCTGAGAGGTCTGAAGTACAACACCTGCTCTCTCAGATACAGTAGAGGTGAACAGGTTTCAGACAATGGAAACGCTTGGTCCAGACTTTATATAATGAAATTCTGAAGATGTCTAAAGTCCAGAGACAAGCTGGGAATGAGGGTACACCCCAGGTTATAATCTGGTCGTTCGCCCGGTAGTGAGAGTCAGTGACACACATTCCCTCTGTGGCCTGTGACAGACACTAGGGACACAGAGGTGGATGTTCCCCTTAGGTCCTTCCTTCATGGAGCTCAGAGCCTAGGGAGATCCAAACACACACCCATTGTGTCAACTCTGAACTTAGACAAGGAAAGGGAGGTGGGTGCTAGGAAGAAATTACCCCCACCCCACGGCTGCTGGAAAGGTTTGGCCACGGCCAAAAGAAAGCATATACTTAAGGGGAGTCAGTTTAAAGGGGGAGGAGGGAACAATGAGAACACAGTGCCATGACATGTATGAAGAGGCTATGATAAAACCTGTTACTTTGTATGCTAACACACATACACAAAAGATTAAGGAAAAGAATAATAACCAGTGTAAGCCAGGCCTGGTGGTTCAGGCATTTAATCAAAACCATTTGGAAGACTGAAACAAGACTGCCAGTCTGGACACTTGGAGGAGACCCTGCCTCAGTAAACAAACAGATAAATAATAAATAAATAAATAAATAAATAAATAAATAAGTAAGTAAATAAATAAATAAATAGATAGCCAACCAAGGGCTGGGAAAGAGGAGGAAGAACCGTGTTAACCCTGCAGTCATCACATGTCTGTAATCCCAGCACTCAGGAGCTTGAAGACTGCTGTCACTTCGAGCCAGCCTCAGCTACAATGTGAGACCCTATCTCAAATATCAGACAGACAAACCACCAACAAAGGATAATGTGTACACTGAGTAACAAGCCCTATGGTCTTGGCTAGATGGCCATGGTTCCCCCTTACCCTGCCATCGACTCTGGGATGGACAGAAGGGTCTGGCTTCTCTCAGCACTGTGGCTAGAAACTCTCCAGGTGAGCTCTAAAGGCCTCAGAGTGGCTTGCTGAATGGAGTACTGGAAAAGGTTTTGTTTAAAACTAGGAGTTAGAGCAAGGGAGATGGCTCAGCAGGTAAGAGCACTGGCTGAACCTCCAAAGGAACTAGGTTCAGTTCCCAGCACCCACAGTGGCTTACAACTGAAGCCACTTGTAACTCCAGTTGCAGGGGAACTGACACCTTCCGGCGCTGCATGAACACCGCACAGACACACATGAAGGCATGAGTAAAAATAAATTCAAAACACCCATAAACAAACAAACAAACAAAAAGCCCTAAGAAAACCCCAGTGTTTCCCGTCCTGGGCCTTGAACCTGTGGGGTACTGGCTTCTACATGGCAACCCCTACAGTACACCCACGCCTGCCCTCCCCTCTAAAGAGCTGCCGACAGCCATCAACTTTCTGAAAGCCATTAACCAATGCTAGGCTTGCCATAAGCCACCTTGTCCCACCCAGAGTTGTACATGCAGTTGTGCTTGTACTCTCGGTAGCTGGAAAGCAGGTGGGCTGACAGAACCGGAGCCTGTTCAGCACTGGTGACAAACAGTCCCATGAGCAACAGACACTCCTACCCTGCAGTAGTCTAGGAAACGGAGAAGGCCTGCATGAACTAGGCCAAAGTCCTACCAGTCAAGAATAAGGGAGAGATTAAGAACTAAAAGGAGACCAGAACTTAATAACTGAATGAATAGAGAAAGAAATTAAGGGGAAAGCCAACTGCAAGAGACAATTTGGATGCTACAGCTGTGTTATCAATGGAGTTAAAGAAGGGAAGAAACGGGTTTGGAAGAAAGCATTACTTCAAGTCAAGGAATACAACACAGCCGTTAAAACGATAGAACTAACAAAAAAGAATAAAGTGAAAGCACTTGAAAGATCTCAAAGACATATGTTCAATGAAAGAAGAGGCAACTTCAGAATAATATGAGCAGTATAATAAGGATAGCTCACTTTTATCAAGTGTATAGTAGGTTCAACCCCTACACCGAATGCTTCACCTACAATAACCCCATGGAGCAGATAACTGTATCATTATACATTATGATCCCACTGAATGAACAGCCTCAGTGCTACAGCCTTGATCAGGCCAAGACAGCAAGTATACAAAACAAACCGACACTGACGCCTGGCAAGGTCCTTCTCGTTGGAAGATACCTAGTCACATGCTGCAGAGACTTGCTTGGCAGAAGGTCAGCCAAGGTCTAAAAGGAACTCCTAAAAGGAACGGACAGATAAAGTTCCCAAAAAACAGAACATCCCTTCTCTGTAGGCGCCCTAACAGCTAAGCGAGCTTGGGGCTTCAGCAGGGATCTCTGCCTGGCACTTCTGGCTTCTGCTTTGGTTATATAACCCTGTACAGAAGGCTTGTGGGAGTGAAAAGATCACAGATGAGAGTATATTCTGCCTGCCTTCAAAGGAGCCTTGAAGGAACATCAAATGGAGTGCCATTAATGAAAGAATCCCTGATATGATATTTTTGCTTTATGAAGCTGGGCACTGTGCCAAAAAAAAAAAAAAATCTGCTGAAAGGCAGAATCCTTTGTGTCATAAAATAAGCACCTGCACATCTTCTTCTAAACATACTGAGAGTCAATGAATGTGCACAGGAGAAAGCAATGGAACAGGGGAAATGTTGGGGGTGAGGGCTTGAACCCAGGTCTTCAGACACACTAGCCAAGTGCCTTACCACCAAGCTACACTCCTTCCTGGACCTGCATAATGAACTTACATAGTTTCTCTTCTGAAAAAGAGGAAGGAAGGAAGGAAGGAAGGAAGGAAGGAAGGAAGGAAGGAAGG